AAATATAAGACTTGAAACTAAAAATCCTAGAAGAAAGCATAGGGTGAAAGCTCCTTGACATTGACAGGGGCAATGATTTTTGTTGGTTTTGCATTTGACACCAGCAACAATAAACAAGTGAGAATATACCAGACGAAAATGCTTCTTTCTACACTACAAAATAAATGATCAACAAACCGTCTAATTTTGAAAAAGAGTGGTGAAAGCAAACATTTCTGTCTTGTTCCTGTTTTAGTTTTTGCTCCTTGAGTATGATGTTGGCTGTAAGTTTGTCATACTTTGCCTTTATCATGTTGAGATATGCTCCCTCTATTCCCACTTTGTTGAGAGTTTTTATCAAAAATGGGTGTTGGATTTTGTCAAATGCTTTTTTTTTTTTGCATTCATTGATATGATCATGTGATTTTTATCTTTCAATTTGTTTATGTGATGTATCACGTTTATTAATTTGCAAATATTATACCTGCATCCTTGGAATAAATCCTACTTGGTCATGGTGTCTGATATTTTTAATATATTGCTGGATCTGATTTGCTAATATATTGTTGAGGATTTTAGCATCTGTGTTCATCAGGGATATTGGACTGTAACTCTCTTTCTTTGTGGTATCTTTATTTGGTTTTGGAGTTAGGGTAATTCTGGCCTCATAAAAAGAGCTTGGAAATGTTCCTTCCTCTTGGGCTTTTTGGAATAGTTTGAGGAGGATAGGTGTTAGTTATTCTTTGAATGTTTGGTAAAACTCCCCTGTGAAGCTGTCCAGACCTGAGCTTTTCTTTTTTTGCTGGGAGTGTTCTGATAGGAAATTGTTTGCTGAGCAATGCTTAATCTTTCTGCAGGTTGTTTTTTAGTTTGACACGCATCTTCATCCAATAATGCTTATAATTGTTGGTCTTCAAATATTTTTGGTTGACCTGGACGTTCTTTATCTTTCACATCGAAATCATTACTTTTAAAGCGTTCACAAGTATCTTGAGATGGAGCATGTTCACCATAAGCTTCCCAAAGTATACTATAACTTTCAGAAGCATTTTCCTTCAAAATAAAGTAATAAATTAAAACTTCCCCCAAATACTCTCTTTTTTTTTTTTTTGCACAAAATTCAACATTTTTAAGAGTAAAAATATCTGTGAGGTTAACACCTTCAGAAAATTTGACAATGAAGTTTTGAAGCTTGCTGTCAATACAATAAAATAGCATACATATCAAATTGCATGTATATCAACATATGTGTAACTCCATCTATTGAAAAAAATCTGCATTATTAACTGGTACACCTAGTATCTATCTGGCTTAAATGCTTTAAAAGTGATGATTTTGATGTGAAAGACAAAGACTGTCAAGGTCAACCAAAAAAGTTTGAAGACCAACAATTACAAGCTTGTCTGATTGCTGATCGATGTTTCCCTCTCATTGATGTTTCTAACTCTCTATCCCTCTCTCTTCCTCTCTGTAAAAAAATCAATAAAATATATATTTTTTAAAATCTCAAATAAACAATCTAACTTCACACTTAAAGGAGCTAGAAAAAGAACAACGAGGTGGGTAGGAGGAAGGAAATAATAAACATTAGAGTAGAAATAAATGACATAGAGACTAAAAAAATAATACAAAGAATCAATAAAACTAAGACCTGGTGCTTGGAAAAGCTAAACAAGATTGATAAACCTCTAATGAGACTCATAAAGAAAGGAAGAGGACCCAAATAAATAAAATCAGAAATGAAAGAGAAGAAATAACTGACATCACAAAAATACAAAGGATTGTAAGAAAATATTATGAACAACTACTAGTATATGCCAACAAATGGGACAACCTGGATGAAATGGATAAATTCCTACAAGCAATCAGATAAGAGAAAGAAATAAAAAACATCCAAATTGGAAAGGAAGAAGTAAAGCTCTCATTATTTGCAGATGATATGATACTATATATAGAAAACCATAAGCCCTGGCTGGTGTAGTTCATTGGTTAGGTGCTACACTTAAGGGTCACCAGTTCTATTCCCAGTCAGGGCACATGCTCAGGTTTTGGGCTGGATCCCTGGTTGGGGTGTATGCAAGAGGCAGCCAGTTGATGTTTCTCTCTCACTCTCTTCCTCTCCCTTTTTCTCTCTCTCTAATCAATTAAAAAAAACAAAACAAAACAAAAAAACACCTTAAGGACTTCATCAAAAAATCACTAGAACTAAAAAATGAATTCATTGCCAAAACCGGTTTAGCTCAGTGGTAGAGCGTCGGTCTGAGGACTGAAAGGTTCCAGGTTCGATTCCGGTCAAGGGCATGTACATTGGTTGCGGGCACATCCCCGGTAGGGGGTGTGCAGGAGGCGGCTGGTTGATGTTTCTCTCTCATCGACATTTCTGGCTCTCTATTTCTCTCCCTTCCTCTCTGTAAAAAATCAATAAAATATATTTAAAAAATAATAATAATAAATAATAAAAAATGAATTCATTAAAATAGTAAGGTATGATATTAATATTCCGAAATCAGTCGCATTGTTACATACCAATAATTAAATATCAGAAAGGGAAACTAAGGAAACAATCCCATTTATAACTGCATCAAAAAATACCTAGGGGAGATCCAAGATGGCTGCGCCCAGGTGAACACCTAGCCGCAGCCGCACACAACAATTTCAATAAAATACAACTAAAATATAAAACGGACATTGCCCAGAACTACAGGAAGGTTGACTGACTGGAAATTCTACAGTGAGAAGCAAGGAGAAAACCAGAAGGAGGTGCGGAGGAGCTGGAAAAGCCAAGGTACAGAGACGCGGAGCACGGAGAGGACAGAGCAGGAGAGGAGGGAGGCCGAGTGCCTGGCGGGCGTTCCCTAGCGGGAAGGAGATAAAACTCCGACTGTGCTGGGCCCCCGACTGCTCTAATCCCCAGTTTTAAGCCAGACCCCGGGGACTCAGGCTCAGCCATAGGGAGCCGGGCTGTAAGGAGGAACCCCGGGGAAGTGGCGAAAGGAGGTCCCGGCGGTGCGCACACTGCACGCAGAGAAGGGACGGTTGGCTGTGCCGCGGGATTGCCCTGACGGGAAGGAGACTGGGGCTCCAGACTGCTCTGAACGCCACCTCCAATCCCACTTCCAACTGAACTGAACCCCAATACCGGACTCATTGGGGGAGAGCATAGACTGTTTGGCAGCAGGCGAAAATCGAGGGTACCTTTCTCTCAGAGGCGCCGGCAGCGAGCACTGAAGGACCCGCATAGGGCGGGGCTGACGGAAGCCAAAGCTGCAGGCTCCACCCTGAAACCCCGTCCCATCTGTAACTGCGAAATGCGACAACAAAATAGATCACAAACGAAAGAAATGGAGGACAAAAAGCGTCTGGATATAGAGTTCAAATCTACGCTTATAAGGTTTTTCAAGAATTTCCTAGAAAAGATGGATAAGGCCTATGAGGATATGAAAAGAGATCAACTAGAATTAATAAGGAGTCATCGAGAAATGATAAGGGATCAACAAGAAATAAAGAATACATTGTCTGAAATAAAAAATATTTTACAGAGTCCTAAAAACAGAAGGGAAGATCACAAGAATCAAGTCAAAGATTTGGAACATAAAGAGCCAGAAGACACTCCTCCACAGAAGCTAGAAGGCAAGAGAATCCAGAAAATTGAAGATAATGTAAGAAACCTCTGGGACAACTTCAAGCGAACCAACATCAGAATTATTGGGGTCCCAGAAGATGAGAGAGAGCAAGATATCGAAAACATACTGAAAGAAATAGTGACAGAAAACTTCCCCCACCTGGTGAAAGAATTAGACTTACAAGTCCAGGAAGCACACAGAACTCCAAACAAAAGGAATCCAAAGAGGACCACACCGAGACACATCATTATTAAAATTCCAAGAGCAAAAGACAAAGAGAGAATATTAAAAGAAGCAAGAGCAAAAAAGGTAGTAATCTATAAAGGAGCACCTATACGATTGTCAGCTGACTTCTCAACAGAAACCATGCAGGCCAGAAGGGAATGGCAAGAAATATTCAAGGTGATGAACAGCAAGAACCTACAGCCAAAAATAATCTACCCAGCAAAGCTATCACTCAGAATCGAAGGCCAGATAAAGAACTTCACTAATAAAAAAAAGCTAAAGGAGTTCATCACCGCCAAACCAGAATTATATGAATTGCTGAAGGGGGTTCTTTCAGAAGAGAAAATAAAGAAAGATAAAAAATTATGAACAACAAATACGTAACTATCAACAAATGAATCTAAAAACCAAGGAAATTAAAAAAATCTGATGAACAATATTATTGTAACTATTGAATATAATAGAATCAGAGGTATGGAAGGGGAGTGAACTGACAATTCTTGGGGAAAAGGGGAGAGGGGGGCGTGGGAAGAGACTGAACATAAACTGTGCACCTATGGATGAGGACAATGGGGAGAGGGGAAAGGGCAGAGGGTGGGGTGGGAACCTGGTGGAGGAGAGCAATGGTGGAGGGGAAAAAAAGGAACATTTGTAATAATATGAACAATAAAAACTTATATATAAAAAAAAAAGAATGATTTGGAGAATGAGAATCAAAAAGGGAAAAAAAAAAAAAATACCTAGGAAGAAATTTAACCAAAAATGTAAAAGACCTGTACTTGGAAAACTGTAATATCCTTTCTTCTATTAATGTGATCTATTATATTAATTGATTTTATGTTGGAACAACTTTGCATTCCTAGGATAAATCCTACTGGATCATAGTATAAATAGCCTTTTATTATTTTGTTAGATTCAGTTTTCCACTTGTTATATTGGGTCGGCAGCTAAGTAATTGCGGATTTTTTAAAGAAAATCAAAGACAATTTTTTCATGGAACTAAATAACTTTATTCTTTTTTTTTTTTTTTTTTTTTTTTTTATAGAGAATCCACAATTCAGTTTTATTCAGAGCAAAGAAAAAAGATACTTTTGATCATACTGGAAGAAACTCAGCCACAGGTTTGGTATCTGTACCCAAACTACACATGCAATGAAGACAATATTCTGCTAATACAATTGATTTGCTGCTGCATTTGTCTACTGTTTGCCTAATATTAACAATTATAAACAGAGCAGTGCAACTAGTATTTGGAACAATCCTTACAGTGTTACAGTGTCAGGCACAACTTTTCACTTCTCTTCACACCACTGGTTCTCTTTGCGTACCTGGGCTTCCTCTTCTTCAGTAAAGTCATTTTTTATATTGAAGGTCTTGCGAATCTCTTCAGGGGTTTTCCCCTTGATCATATTGGCAACAGTCTTGCATGTAACATCAAGCAAACCTTTGATGTCTAAATAGTTTGCAGCCAGAATTAGTTCAAATAGTGTTCCTTGGTCAACTTTGAGAAATTCTTGGTCCCAAACAGGAATATCGTCTGTCCGCTTTTCTTTGTTCTCATCATCCTCAGGAGGAGGAGGGTCATCCTTGTGGTGGGTGCACCACTGAATGACCTTTTTTAATATTGCTGCATTAACATTTGGTAGAGGAACTGGGTCATCATCGCCTTCATCATCCATTCCCAAATCTTCTAACATAGTCTTGATAGTCACAGATTGTTTGGCAATTTCAACATCAACTTCAAATATCTCTCCATCAGAACTCTGCAATTTAATTGAAGGCATGGTGCTCGGTCTCCAGGAGAGAGCGGGCCGGAGGCTGACGAGAGCGGAGCAGCGTCAGCAGAAGCAGACGAAAAAGGTGGAGAATAAGGCCTCTTACAGCCTAAATAACTTTATTCTGTAATGTATTGCCCATTTTGATCAATGACCTCTTGCCATCTTTCAGGCAGCATCATAATCCCACGTTCAAAAAACTTCTGGTTTTTATTAGCAAAAAACTGAATCAGGTACGATTTGACATCATCATCATTATTGAAATTTTTACCATTCAAGGAGTTTTGTAAAGATCGAAACAAAAAGTAATCAGATGGTGCAAGGTCAGGACTATATGGTGGATGTGGCAAAACATCCCAACCAAGCTCCATGAATTTTTGCCGAGTGACCAAAGATGTGTGTGGCCTTGCATTGTCATGATGGAATACAACACCTTTTCGATTTGTCAATTCGGGCCGCTTTTCTTCAACTTCATTGTTTAATTTCGTTAGTTGTTCAATGTAGACATCAGAATTGATCGTTCGGTTGGGTGGTAAGAGTTCCAAGTAGACAATTCCTTTGTAATCCCACCAAACTGATAACAAAACCTTCTTTTGATGAATATCAGCTTTTGATGTTGTTTGAGTTGGTTCACCTGGCCTGCTCCACGATCTTTTCTGCTTGATATTGTTGTAAACAACCCATTTTTCATCGCCAGTTATCAGTCGTTTTAAAAATGGACCATTTTCATTACGTTTCTTTAGCAAATCGCAGCTGCTAATGCGTTGCGTTAACTCTGATTCTTTCAGTTCGCGAGGAACCCATGTATCGAGTTTTTGAACATAGCCAAGTTGTTTTAAGTGATTTTCAATGCATGTATGTGATACATGAAGCTTCTCTGCAATCTCACGTGTTGTACTGTGACAGTCCGAATTGATTATTGCTTTGATTAGGGCGTCATCAACTTCAACTGGACGACCAGAGCGTTTTTCATCTTTGAGTGAAAAATCACCAGAATGAAATTTGGCAAACCAATTTTGACACTGCCGTTCTTTTAAGGCTTCGTCACCATAAACAGCACATAACTTTTTATGAGCTTGCGATGCGTTTTTCCCTTTGCGGAAATAAAAAAGCAAATTATGACGAAAATGTTCCTTTTGATTTTCCATTTTTCAACGAACGCCAAACGAAAACTACAAAACAGATCAAAAAACTTTTTTTACTGATTAACAGCTGAATAGCCAACTATCAAATAACAAAATGTGTTTTACATTTGTACTACGTCTGCAAACCTAAAAATTCAACTGAAGCCATATATGTGTGAAACCAGCAATTACTTACTTGCCGACCCAATAAATATGAAGTTTGCCCTGATCATTATGGTTCAGTGGTTAGAGTCCTCTCTACCCCCACACTAAAGGATGGCAGGTTTGATTCCAGATCAATGGCATGTTCCTGGGTTGCAGGTTTGATCCCTGGCCAGGTTGGGGCACGTGTGAGAGACAACCAATTGATGTGTCTCTCTCACATTAATGGTTCTTTCTCCCTCTCCCGACCCTCCTTCCTTTCTTTTCTTTCTAGAAGAAGAAGAAGAAGAAGAAGAAGAAGAAGAAGAAGAAGAAGAAGAAGGAGAAGAAGAAAAAGAAAAAATCCTCAGTTGAGGATTAGCAATAACAACAAATAAATGTGAATGTTTGTGTCTCTTACCCCCCTCCCCATTCATATATTGAACCCCTAAACTGATCATGTGATAGTGGAGTATTTGGGAGGCAATTAAGTTTAGATGAGGTCATGAGGGTGGGCTTCTCATGATTAGATTAGTCCCTCATAAGAAGAGAAAGACAGAGATCTCTGTCTTGTGGATTCTGCAGGAAAGGACAGTCAGGCAAACAGCTTGGGAGTGGCCTGTTTGAATCATTTCAGTGGGCTCTGGGTCACAGGGCTGTCCCAAATTGTCTGGAACCTGGGCCTGGAATGACTAGGTCAGGGAAATGGTGACTCATGATGGGAAATTTGAGATCCCAATAAAGGAGCTGGTGGGGCCTGTGAATCTAGCCACAGTGGGGGAGATCAACTGGGAGAGATACCAGTTAGAGGAGAAACCAAGATGGCGGCATAGGTAAACATCTGAACTGCTGCTTCGCACAACAATTTCAAAACTACAATTAAAAGACAAACAGGATATCATGCAGAACCACAGGAAGGCTGGCTGAGTGTAAATTCAACAACTAGAAGGGAAGAGAAAAGCACACTGAGACTCAGAGGAGCTGCAAAAGGCTGAGGTTCTGAGATGCACATGCACAGAGAGGACTGGCAACTGAGTGCACGGCTGGCTTTCTCAAGCAGGAGGGAGACAAAAGCTCCCAAATGCGCTGAACTCCAGTTCCAGGTGAGACTGTGGGGACCGAGATTCATACAGGGTGAAACTGGACTGTCTGGCAGTGGGCGGAACTCAAGGGTGGCTTTCTTTCAGAGGTGCTTGCAGCGATTACTAAGGGACACTGAGACACAGGGACCTATTAGGGCAGGACTGATGGGAAACCAATGCTGTCAGCTCTGTCCTGAGACTCTGCCCCATCCAAGCTGAGCACAGAGGCTTTTGTAAGTCTGGTCTCATAAGGGTGTCTCCAGTACAGAAGTTCTCCCAGCATAGACACAGCTGATCCTCACAGCCAATTGGCCTGAAAGTCAATTCCTCCCAGTGATACTAACAACAATCAAGTCTTAACTACAACAAGACTGTGCACACAGCCCACAAAGGGGTGCACCAAGAGTGTCCACTTCAGGTAACTGGGGAGGCTGAGCCACTGGGCCCTATAGGACACCTAGCACACAAAGCCACTCTATCAACCCAGGGAAGCAGCCAAAATGGGGAGACAAAGAAACAGATAACAAATGAAAAAAAGCAAACAACTGGATATAGAGTTCAAAACCACAGTTATAAGGTTTTTCAAGAATTTTCTAAAAAAGGCTAATAAATTTAGTGAGACCCTCAAGGATATGAAAAAGGACCAACTAGAAATTAAGCATACACTGACTGAAATAAAATATATTATACAGAGATCTAACAGCAGACTAGAAAATTGCAAGAATCAAGTCAAAGATTTTAAATTCAAAGAAGCAAAAAACACTCAACCAGAAAAAGAAAAAAAATGCAAAAACATAAAGAAAGCATAAGGAGCCTCTGGGACAACTTTCACAGGTACCAACATCAGAATTATGGGCGTGCCAGAAGAAGAGAGCAAGATACCGAAAACATATTGGAAGAAATGGTGACTAAAAACTTCCCAGCTGGTGAAAGAAATAGACTTTACAAGTCCAGGAAGTGCACAGAACCCCAAACAAAAAGAATCCATGCCCTGACTGGTTTGGCTCAGTGGATAGAGCGTCGGCCTGTGGACTGAAGGATCCCAGGTTCGATTCTGGTCAAGGGCATGTACCTTGGTTGCGGGCACATCCCCAGTAGGGAGTGTGCAGGAGGCAGCTGATCAATGATTCTCACTCATCGATGTTTCTAACTCTTTATCCCTCTCTCTTCTCTCTGTAGAAAATCAATAAAATATATATTAAAAAAAAGAAAAGGAATCCAAAGAGGACCACACCAAGACACATCATAATTAAAATGCCAAGGACAAAAGACAAAGAGAGAATCTTAAAAGTAGCAAGAGAAAAACAGTTAGCTACCTACAAGGGAGCAACCATACAACTGTCAGCTGATTTCTCAACAGAAACTATGCAGGCCAGAAGGGAGTGGCAAGAAATATTCAAAGTGATGAATAGCAAGAACCTACAACCAAGATTACTCTACCCAGCAAGGCTATCATTCAGAATTGAAGACAGATAAAAAGCTTCACAGATAAGAAAAAGCTAAAGGAGTTTATCACCATCAAACCAATATTAGATGAAATGCTGAAAGGTATTCTTTAAGAAGAGGAAGAAGAAGAAAAAGGTAGAGCTGAAAGTCACACTGTAGCGGGCAAGGGTGCAGGAAGGCCTAACAAATGTTCCTGTAATCAATCTAGCACTGAACTTGGTGAGTCTGCTCACCTCCTATTTTATAAGTAAAGTTTTATCAAGACTGCCCCACACCTTTGTTTATCGTCTCCTCTGACTATTGGCATGCTACCACAGCAGGCAGAGTACTTGAGACAGACACTATCACTCTCAAAGCACTTTTCAGAAGTTTGCGGGCACTGCTCCAGGGCAAGGAGAGAAGGACCAAGGCACAGAGGCCAGTGGGGTGCAACTAGAATGACACAGGAGGCAGCTGAGCCAGGCTACGGTGAGCCTGGCCACACTGGGAAGGAGGTGCTACGTCTGGGTTAGAGGCAGAAGCCTGTGGCAACTCCAGGGCCCCCACCCCTTCCGGGCTGTGTGACTCTGGGTGGGCCGCCTGACCAACTTGAGCTCAGCACCTTTCCTTTAAGATAGTCAGAATGACAGCGATGTTCAGGCTTTAGAGGGAGGACCTGTACAACACCTCCCCCCAGCCCGGCCAGGGAGTGCTCAGCAGAGCGCAGCCCACCAAGGTCTCCAGAGCCTGCCCTCTGCTCTACCGGGAGGGTGCATTCCTGCATCCGCATCTGTGGGGAGATCGCCTTTCCTATCTGTGTTCTGCTAATAAAGAGAAACACACTTGGTGAGGTTAGACAAACAGCGGGAGTGATTGACACCACCGCAGTGCTGGGCCCCGCCGCACGGCTGTCCAGCAAGCTGCTGAGAAAACACTGCGTGGCTCCACATCCCTCAATGTTTGCCTTCAATTAGCCTCACGTTGTGCCGGTTAGTCACACTCTGTCCATCAAGGCTGCTGGGGAGGAGCCTGCTCCCTGGCAACCAGCTGCCAGGAGGCAGCCCGCAGGTCTCAGTGTCCCCACCGCCATGCTGAGCTGCAAGGATGGCTCTGCTGGGGACCCCATGCTTGGGGTTCTGAGCCCACCACTGTCTGGAGTCACATCCAGCCCTCCTGGGAGTTGGCTGAGCTTGCCTCCAGCCTGGGTTTAAGAGCTTCCTGGATGTGTCCCCTTTGCCTCTGATGGAGGATCTACCAGGAGCAGGCCAAACTGGCAATGGGCAGGTGGCCAAGGGTCTAGCACACCAACATGGCCCGTTTCTAATATGGTCCTGCCTAGGGTGGG